AGGGCTCCATGTAATTTCCACTTTAAAGAACCTATTATAAATTTATGATTCATTCATTGTAGGCCTTGCACAGTCTGGCCCGTTTTACATCAGATCCTAATCCACTGGGCTGGATACCAAAGACACCAATCAATTACAATTGATTTAGCCCATATTTGATTTATTTAAAAAAAAAAAATTAAGTCAACATCCATAAAACTTTCATCAGCAACCTCACCTCAAGACTGATTGAAGCAGTAATTTTGTCTTCAAGAAAAACATGCCCAAGCAATAGAAGAGTGCTTGCTATTCTGCATAATCTTACAAGGTGAGATTTTTCAAGCAATAAATTTGGGTATTAGAAAAAGGGCATTCACATCTTGACAATTTTCTTTTTTTTTTTTTACAATTTCTATCAGGCATTTCATCGAACACTTTCTTCGCAATCTTAAACTTGCCTGATTGTCTATACAATTTGACAAGTCTGGTAAAAATGTTCTTGAAAATATCAATCTGAATTGCTCCTGATATTCGAGAATTTCTTTAATCTATTTGAAGCGTTTGGCGAAAGCCAAGCGGTGAACCGTAGATTCATAAATGCCAATCATGGTGTGGTTACGGTTGGAAATTTTGTGAATATGAGGTTTTTCTACGAGGCAGAAGCTTGAAAAATAAAGAAGATATCTCTAGTTAGTAAGAATGAAGAGATATTCTCTCTCCAAATTTTGTAATTAGCAATGATAATTATCCTTAAACTCTCTCTCTCTCTCCAAAAAAAAAATGCTATCATTAGTTGCAAGATCAAATAAATTTGTATCGAGAAGTTTCTTGAACTTCCCCTTTAGCAAGACGAAAGATTACATGAAATGGAAGATACAACAGCTCATTAACTTCGGAAGCAATGAAAGAGATACATCGAAAAACCACATAGAATGTTTTTATTTACCTTGTACATGTTCTAGTCACGTGTAAATGTCATACGGCTATTTTGCCCACAAACATATCCAATTACAAATTCTTGGAATCCCGGTTTTACGCTCCTTCTTCTTTTTACTTTCCGCATCCATCTTCCTCTTCCTCTTCCTCGCTCTCCTCTCTACGAGTTCACTCAAATAATACTTGATAGTAGATTCTTCGATTTCGTTCGATGAAGCCTTGCTTGATCCTCTAAGATCATAAGGCAATATCATGAAATGCCTTTCAATCAAATGGCTCATAGAAACCAATTCATATGAATCATAACAGGGGCTGCCACAATCCCATATCTTGCTTTCTTCAGGTTCTTCTATTCCCTTCATATTTCTTCGGAGTTCCCAATGAAAATGCCAACTTATAACTTATACTTGGTATGGTTTCTAATAAATATGAAGTTGACTATATGATATAGTTTCCT